ATAAAGTTGACTGACTAAATGTCAGCGCTGCACAGGTGAGTCACTTTAACCCCTTATCTCCCCACCTGCATTGACTCCTCCCCCTCTCTCCCCCAGGTGTGGTTTCTGCTACATGGAGGCGGAGCTTGTTCCCGCCGGCCTCTACAACGTCATCCCCACCACCTTCCTGCCCAAACAGGACGGACCTTTCTTCCTGGACTTCTCCAGCACCTCGGCCCTCAAGGTCTCACAGCTCCAGTGAACAAGAAGAGGAGGAGCCTTAGAGGATTATGGGATGTAAAGACGTGTCGCGGCCTCAAAAAAACACAGAGAATGTTTCACAGCCTTCCTCAAACTCCTTCACCAAGGACAGATATGGTGAAGTATTGAGTTATCAGTGAGGAATCATCAAGAGCAACTTCAGTACGGATGAAACCCATCAACAGTCCACATGTTCACCTTTTCGCCATAAAAGGAGCACAGCAATCTGGGGACTTCATATGATAACAGAGATTATACACCGGTTAAAGGGTTAAAGGGTTATCCAGCTGCAAAACATTTTAATATGGCGGCCAGTAAGCAATTACATCTTTTCTGTCTCTGTGTTGCTGCATTGAGCCTCTTAACAATCCAGGAGCGTATCCTTAGTAGCTTCTCCAGGTGGACATTTCCCCCAAATGTGCAGCTTATAGAGTCCTATGGTGAACCGGGAAATGTTGGGTACCCCAAAGTGTTGTGATAGAAATGTATGGTAGGTGTCCCCAGGACATAGACACTGCCGGATGCTAACCTGCAGATGTTCGCCAATTAGCATCAATTAGCATCAATTAGCATCAATTAGCATCAATTAGCATATGTGGACAATCGTTTGAAAATTGCTTGGACGATGTTGGAGTCTTTTTTTGAGGTTATTGAGGATGTTGAATCCAATTTTGAAGTGTTTAGGGTCCAAAATGACAGTTTTTACCAGAGTGGCCATATCTTGTGCATTCTTTATTGATTTTAAAGTGTCACTCCAAACTGCCACTTATGATCCTAAAAATGTCAGAAATTGAATCAACATCCTCAAAAACCACTCCAAAACTGTCCAAATCAGCCATTTGTTTGCTATTGCCTGCACATGCTAATTAATGCAACTTGTTAGCATCCAGCAGTTTCTATGTGCTGGGGACCCTACTCTACATTTCTATCATAAAAACGTTGGGGTACTCCACATGTCAGGGTTCACTATAGGACTCTAGGAGCTGTCAACTGGACTGATATACTGGCAGCCAGGATAACAACGCTATTTTGCAGTGTGGGGAACTCCAAAATGAAGTCTTCTTTTTT